CCAAGATCGACCATCCAAAGTTCATTTTTGCTAGTGCCGTGCTAGGACAGTTGGGCAAAACTATAGATAGAATATCCTCTAGAAGCATGAAAAGACTGAATTTATAAAGGATGCTTGAAATTAAGCATGTATTTGTGGTGCTCCCTGCCCCTTCCTCCACATCTACCCATCCAAAGTTCATTCTCGGAGCTGTTTGAAAGCAAACTTTAAAAGGAAAATGGCATTAGAAAAGTAGGAATGCAAGATCTCACCATCCAAAGTTGAAATTGCAGGTTTTTGAAAAGAAGCATCGAAAGGAAAATGGGATGAGAAAAGAAGGAATCCACGATCTTACCATTTAAAGTTCAGCCTTGCAGGTTTTTGAATAGAAAGCTGTGAAAGGAAAAGGAGATAAGAAAAGTATAGAAAAGTAGGAATCCAAGATCGACCATCCAAAGTTCATTTTTGCTAGTGCTGTGCTAGGACAGTATAGAAAAGTAGGAATCCAAGATCGACCATCCAAAGTTCATTTTTGCTAGTGATGTGCTAGGACAGTTGGGCAAAACTATAGATAGAATATCCTCTAGAACCATGAAAAGACTGCATTTTAAAGGATGCTTGGAATTAAGCATGTATTTGTGGTGCTCCCTGCCCCTTCCTCCACATCTACCCATCCAAAGTTCATTCTTGGAGCCGTTTGAAAGCAAACTTTAAGAGGAAGATGGCATTAGAAAAGTAGGAATGCAAGATCTTACCATCCAAAGTTGAAATTGCAGGTTTTTGAAAAGAAGCATCGAAAGGAAAATGGGATGAGAAAAGAAGGAATCACGATCTTACCATTTAAAGTTCAGTCTTGCAGGTTTTTGAATAGAAAGCTGTGAAAGGAAAAGGAGATGAGAAAAGTCCAGAAAAAGTAGGAATCCAAGATTGATCATCCAAAGTTCATTTTTGCTAGTGCCGTGCTAGGACAGTTGGGCAAAACTATAGATAGAATATCCTCTAGAAACATGAAAAGACTGCATTTTTAAAGGATGCTTGGAATTAAGCATGTATTTGTGGTGCTCCCTGCCCCTTCCTCCACATCTACCCATCCAAAGTTCATTCTTGGAGCCGTTTGAAAGCAAACTTTAAAAGGAAAATGGCATTAGAAAAGTAGGAGGAATGCAAGATCTTACCATCTAAAGTTGAAATTGCAGGTTTTTGAAAATAAGCATCGAAAGGAAAATGGGATGTGAGAAGAAGGAACCCACGATCTTACCATTTAAAGTTCAGTCTTGCAGGTTTTTGAATAGAAAGCTGTGAAAGGAAAAGGAGATAAGAAAAGTATAGAAAAGTAGGAATCCAAGATCGACCATCCAAAGTTCATTTTTGCTAGTGCTGTGCTAGGACAGTTGGGCAAAACTATAGATAGAATATCCTCTAGAACCATGAAAAGACTGCATTTTAAAGGATGCTTGGAATTAAGCATGTATTTGTGGTGCTCCCTGCCCCTTCCTCCACATCTGCCCATCCAAAGTTCATTCTTGGAGCTTTTTGAAATCAAACTTTAAAAGGAAAATTGCATTAGAAAAGTAGGAATGCAAGATTTTACCATCCAAAGTTGAAATCGCAGGTTTTTGCAAAGAATTTTTTAAAGGAACACGGGATGAGAAAAGAAGGAACCCAAGATCGACCATCCGAAGTTCAGTCTTGCAGGTTTTTGAAAAGAGACCTGTGAAAGGAAAAGGAGATGAGAAAAGCTGGAATCCAAGATCGAGCATCCAAAGTTCATAATTGAAGGTTTTTGAATGGAAAACTGTGTTTGAAAGGAAAGTGCATGAGAAAAGTAGGAATCCTCGATCTTACCATCCAAAGTTCATTCTTGCAGCTGTTTGAAAAGGAAATTTTGAAAAAAATAGAAGGTTTTGAAAAGGAAAGGAAAAAACTACACATTTTGAGCATCGTGGAGTAGATTTCGGAATATTCTATCTAGGGGGTCCGAAGATATAGTTTAGTATTGGGTCAAAAAACCCTGGGTTTTTTCAAAATAAAAAACACCCCCTACGAAACTGGATTCTATCTACTCCAGGATTATTATATATCTATATGTATATCTATATGTATATATATACGTATTTTTTCATGATTTGGCCATCCGAAATTCGGAGTTATTACTGGTTACTCAATTTTGAACCACGACCAAAGTGACAACAAGTGGAATGCAGATCATAGATCTATGGACTTTTATGACAATGATTGCAGATGTATTCATGGATTTAACACGAGCACGCTTTTTGAATTGAACTGCGATCGAGCTGGAGCAGCGATCGCTTCATTTGAAGCACCAATCTAGAGTCTGTCAGCTGGGTAGATACTGTACATGTGTTACACATAAGTACATCATGTAGATGGATCATGATTATATACAATTATATATATATATTTATTTACTTATTTATTTATTTATTATACAATCATACATAATTTTCTAAGCTTGTGGTTCCTATGCGTGCAGTGCTGCTTGAGGTCGCTGGCTGTTTGGAACTCAACCAAAGCCCTGATGGTTTGCTGACCCAGTGCGAGACTTCCGCCACGATTTGGATACATTGGATGGCTTTTGAGTCCATTGTTGGACCAGTTTTAGATATTTTGGAACCAACCAAATGTTGTGAGTCAAGGTCAACGCACCCACACACTCTCCATTCATGTTTGGGAGGTTCAGCAGGATACCCTCTGGCAATCACATCATTTATAGATGGTTTTCCTATCAAACCCTCCATTTCTAGGGACTTTCCATCATAATTTCTGGCTACGAGAGAGCACCAGGATTTTGATGTACTAACACAACGCAGGCGTTGGGGGAGCAGAATTTGGATGGCTGCGAGTGCCTTGGCGCAATACATAGTTTAATATAGTTGAATTCCCTTGATTGCTTGGTAATGCCAAAGTCTTGCGTATGGCTGGTTAGCTCCATGATCGTTGACAAACTCAGAGAATTCTTACTGTAAAAGTCTCCAAGGTGTTGGGAAACTCTGCCTTTCTTATCCTTTCTTTACTGGTTCAACTCCCCAATTTTCGCCCCAACTTTTGTTGGCAAAGTCCCAGGTCCAACATGACTGTGTACCACGAGATGCAGTCAGTGCACCTCCTCAGTTGAGCAATAAACTTCTGAAAATCCCAAGTTTCAATGTGAACTCATCTACTATCATCTTATAATGGACATACATACTGTGAATATCTGTGAATAACGAATATACGTGAATCATATGTTTTTTTTTTGTCTATTTGCCAATAGATCAGCAGAGGCTATCACCCTGTAATAAGGATCTCAGAAGAAATTCACCAGTAAAATCTGGCCACAGGTATGGCCCTTTTGGCAGATCCTTGGTCGACTGGAAAAGCGGCACCTCTACGACCAGGCACCGACTTTTTTGGGAAAGATCATTGAGGAAAACTGTTGCCCAAATTGGGCTGTCACCTGATTTGTTTTTCTTGTGACGGGTGAGGAAGCAGCTCGAAATCGTCAACTTTCATTGAAGTTGCAGCCACAATTTCAGGGGATTTGTATTGGATTTGTTCATTCTGGGATGCGGATATGTCATTAACGATCAAACTTGGGTTCATACACCCTGACTGATGAATAAAGAGCTTCGCGCCCAACAAAGTTGTAAATTTGAATTGCTTTGAAATGGATTGAAATGCTTTGAACATATAGGTTGTCCCAGTCAGAAAACAGGGATTTGAAGTATATGTAAATGATATTGATGAGTGATTGATGATATGATCATATTGAACAAGTAAGTTAGTTGATGCTCACCAACAGGTATGGGAAAAGGTACTGGCCTTCCAGTACCGTACCTCCCCCAGATAGGGGGGTGGGAAGCACCAGCCAGATACTATGATGGTCCAACAATCTGGACCCAACATGGAACCTTAGATTGGCTGTATAAGCATTGACCCAAAACATCCCAGAAGATTCGCGGTGATAGCTGCCTATAGGTTCAGGGGTTCGAACTGGACTGAATGGGATAGACTCCCAATTCGGTTCCTCGACATTTGACCCATACTCTTCTCTAGATTCTCTAGGTCAATGTTGGGAAATATGGATAAATATTTTTCATATTCAGAAGCGGCATCCCCTATTTCTATGTTAAAATGGGGCTTTAGTCTTTGCTGGTTTCAAGCAGGTCTTCGTTTCCCCTCATCTCCCGGCTGGGTGATCCTGGCAACAGCATTGAACAACTGATGGGCTTCCCATGATCTGTAGCTACATACAGAGTAGATATGCTGGAACTATCTGTACTATCTCTAGCTGAAGTACGTGAGATTATGTATACATACATACATACTGTACATACATACATATATATACATACATACATACATACATACATACATACATACATATATTCTACCATAGTGCGAGATCAAACATGGACCCAGATAGAATCTCCCCCCAAAATCCGGGACCCAAGATGACCGTGGCGTAGGTGCCAGACTTTGTCCCGGCGCTGCCATCGCCCCCAGCCCTCCCAGCAGCAGTCGGGGACCTCAGCGCAGGTGGCCCCTGGGGATCCCTGGGGTGGGGAAAAAGTGCGGATGTCACCCAGCAATTGAGGACCTAAGTACCCGGCTTGGTAAACATACAAAAAGCTATTGAAAATGGCCATAGAAATAGTTGATTTACCCATACAAAATGGTGATTTTCCATAGTTTTGTGTATGTTTACCAGAGGGTAACATTGAGCTCAAAATTGGGGCTTGGATGTGCAAAATGAGGAATTCGATCAAGTTCAATCCAGAGAGTAAGAGTTTGACCCGCAGAAGTGGTGATTGAAAGTCAGATTGAGGATTTAGCCAGCATGCTGGGGCACCCTATGGCACCTACCATACAGTAGTTACTGTTTCTTTTCTGGCCTATTAGATGACCACTATGACCAAGATCCAAAGTGCATGGCCGCAGTTTTGAGGTTCGCTTGAAGTGGCAACACCTTCTGCACGCGCGGCAGCTCAAGGTGCCAGCCTTTCAACGCGCACCTCCGAGTACCAGGGATAGAATCTACTATTATCATCTATTATCATCGCCTTCATCTTCAAGAACCTCGACCGCCTCGACCGGCACATAACCTGCCCGTCGCGTTTCAGGCGTAGTACAAGCTATCTCTGACACGTGCCTGTAACGTCTCATTCCATTGCGCATTTGATATTTGTTTGATACCAATATATTTTATTGGGCCTTATAACAAGGTCACACCTACATCAATCTGGGTGAACTATAGCAACCCCACTGGCCGATCTCAATATCAATGACGGTTTACATACCTTGAATCATCCCAAACAGTTCTTGTTTCCGCCTGGAACTATCATCATATTCTGAGATGTGATTTGCTCAAAATCATCACATCTCCATCTTTGGAGATTCCCCTTGCCAACAATCCTTAGTGCTGTTGGTGGTTTCTGGGATGATCCAACTTTTCTAATCCTTGACTGGCTGGCTCAACATTCAGATAAAAACAAGAGAGATCTCCCAGTGGTTGAAGGGAAAGTTTGCAGGATAAGCCATGACCTTTGCTGGGAACCTGGTCGTGGTCTCCTTACAATCATGGATCAGAGCCGGGAAGTCTGTAGGTGGAAGCCACCTTTCAACCAGCAGCACCATGGATGATGCAGGTGCCACTGGTTGTTGGAATGGTTTGCACCACCGAGAATGATGGGTCTCATGTTTTTTTGGATCAGGCTTTATCATATAGATGATGGATAGTTGAGAATCATATATATATTATATATATGTATAAATCGAGGCCGCAGCTTCTGCTACATCGAGCCTAAGAGAAAAAACAAGATACACACCAAAAACAACACATATGATCGTCAGCAATTTTCTGCTCCATTTGGGCTTTAGGAGGACCACAGCATGTCTTCAGACTTACCGGCTCAGAGACTCCCAATCTTGGGGTACCCTCTGGTAAACATACAAAAAGCTATTGAAAATGACCATAGAAATAGTGAGTTTTCCCATTAAAAATGGTGATTTTCCATAGCTATGTTAAATTACCAGAGGGTAGTTTGTTTTGACAATTGGTTGATTGATATCGGATCGAACACCCAACATTTTCTGCTGAAAACCTATGGGTTTCCAGCGACATTTCCGTAAAAAAACACTTTCGTCGATTAAAGGCTGCATATTTGCTCGGCTCACTTCCGGATTTGGGGTGGGTAAAACATCATTAAAGCATTTGCTCGATTGATCGTGGCCACTTCGATTTCCAGTGTTTTTTCCTTAGATGGGTTTACAACATATCCCAACACCAAACACCTTTTGACAGGACAAGAACCACCAACTTGTTTCTGCAATGGTTAGGCCACCCCCGGCGCATTCAGATGCTCTTCAGGATGGGGCTGGCCGCGAATGTTTGGAGGAGACGAAGGGCGTGGCCCACATCGCGCTGTCTGCAGACTTGGCCTGGGCCTCCGCCCTGGGTGACCTGGGTGAAGGTTTCTAGGGTACAACCTACATTCCCGAAATGGGATAAGATCTGGAAAACTTCGACCTGCAAAAATTCGCTAAGCTCAACCTTACAAGGACTTCACTTTCATACATGATGGTTTACTTTATTGGGAAGGATGCCAAGAACGGCCCTTTCTTTCTGGTATTATAGTTGGTTCAGATGGATTGGGATCAGATGGTCAAATACTCGGCTGGCTTTTTTGCAACCCTCTGCGGGGTGATGATCCCAGTTTACGTTGCCTAAGTTGGGCTGAAATGGGGTACCCAAGTCCAAGAGATTCTCAACATGTTGCCAAAACCCCCAAGTGGTGATTTTTTGTGGGCGCTTAAAGTAAGATGCTTCCGCGATTTCGCTTTTTAGTACCACCCAAATGGCACATTTTTTGGGGTTGAACACAACAATCCCTTCATTGGATGATGGGAAAATCTGTCGGAAAACTTTGGAGACCTTCCAATTATTTTTTATCTGGTGAAAAGCCATGTTTTTTTCTTGAATTTCTCTTCAATCCATGGAAATCACAATCTTCCCAATTTTGGCGCAAGTGAAGTCACCATTGTTTCCTCGTTTAAACTGTTTAAACATGTCTAAACTCCTCAGTAAACCCTGGTTCAACATGGTTCAACAACTTCAGCTTGCGCCAGTCACGGGTCACGTCATGTCACGTCCTAGGCCCAAATCGATGGTCTCATTGTGACGCTCTCAAGCTCGATCTCCGCGACGGCGGACGCGCGGCGGGGGAGCCCACGAAACCCATCGATTGCCAATTGAGCCATTAAAAATACCATAGTTGATAGGTTATCATGGGGATTATACTATCTGGTTTCATGGGGATTTTAATTTCTCATAGGGATAACTACTAACCAGTATAATGAGATCTATATTCATCTGTATTCTTATGTTTTTCTAGGTGAGACATGGTGAGACTATATTATTTGATTTGATCAATGATCTATCGTATATCAATATATTGAGGGATGGTCATGCACACAGACACATTTTTTTGAAGATCATGTTAAACTCGCTGTTTCGAGTTTGGTTAATAGTTTGGTTAATAGTACACAGATTGAATCATAGAATTGGAAGATGGGAAAATTTACAGGAAACCCCTATATTTGATGGTAAAAACCATGGTTTCCTGTAGATTTTCCCTTAAACCAATCCATTGATTCTTTGGGAATTCCGGGTGGACTTCTGAACCCCAGCAACGAGGCGCCTCTGTTTCCACACTTTCGTGCTGGAACAGCAGCAGAGCTTCATGCTTGAGGCGTGTCAGGATGGACCCTTTGGAGGGGTCAAGATGGGTCAAGATGGGTCAAGATGGGTCAAGATGGGTCATTTTTTTCCTCCCCCAAAAAATGGTGAATCCTATAATTGCATTCTCAACATGGAAACATGTCTTGGTTTGAAGATGTTTGAAGTGTAGCATTTTGGTCCCTGCCACTTGAAGTCATCATAGATGGAAGGTGGCCAGGCTCGAACCATGTCGAACCCCCCAAAAATGGGCGATTCCATGGTCCATTTTGCTGGACGATCTGCTGCCAGGCACTTCAGTGCGCTTTCGGAGATGCATTGAAGATCCAAAGCACAGGCCCAACGGAGACGACAACATTTGATGGTCAGTTGCTCCCAAAGACGCCCAAACCAAAAACGGGCCCTAAATCTGGTACCATTCCCTTGTCTGTGCTTCAGGATTGTCGGGTCAAATCTTTGGTGCCTTCACTCTTGGGGAAGCTCGACTGTTGATCCACAGTTTGCAACTGAGATGGGCTTTCAACTTGGCTGAAGCTGGGATCTCCAGGCGCAGTCTCTGAGGTTTGGATCCTGAAACCATTTGGAGGGAGGTGGGCTTGAACTCCAGCAGGTGCGGGTGAAAAACAACGGCAAAGTGGGCCAAAAACAAGTGCAAAACCATTGGGGAGGTTTTGGCATTTCATGGGGATCGAGGCAATATACAACTGGTGGGTGGATTCAAACATGTTTCAAATACTTGGGATTTTTCCATTGAGTTCACGGATGATCAAGTCATTGTTTGGGGGGTGGCTGAGCTATGCTGAGCTCAGTACAGTGCCAAGTGTCTCCGGGACTCCATGATATCAATGTGGATATCCCAAATCCTCTACTGGTCTAGCTTGGCGGAAGGGCATGACTTGGTTTCGACTAAAGCCTCCGTTCTATGCCGTTCTATGCCCAAGTATGGCATCAGCCCGGGACACATAGATTGATTTTTCCAGCACTTGGCTGAGTATATCCTTGATTGTCAGTCATAGTCATACCCAATGTTTATCAATAGATACGTGCAAGCTAGGTACAAGATGGTTCAAGTCAAGATCCGGTAAGATTGTACTTGAACAGTTGATCAAAGTTGAACAATGTTGAACATCATCACCAACGGCAACCCCTCCAGGGACGGAATCCGTCAGGATGTTGAACCTTTGTTTGAACGCCACTTTACCAGCTAGAATACCCATGTGATTAGAGTATTCTGGGTTATGTCGCCCCATTCAAATGATCCTGACATTGAGACTGCCAAACCGATACACACATGTGTATATTACTGTATAATATTATATATAATTACGCGTATATATGCTTATATGCGTATATGATACTATACACATACAGAACCATACATAACAATTACATATGTATATATATATATATATATATATATAATATTATATACGTGTACATGAGTACATGGAGATGAACATCTATGCTTACGTCACCCTTTATCCCCACCGACAATGTCGCTGTTTCTTCGGCAGCTTGAGGCCAGGTGCAGTGATGCTGGGAGAGACCGATTTGAGCAACTCCTTACGTGCCATCCTCAAGGGCGGGCCAGGTGGGCCAGGGGTCGTAAGGAATCTCTAGCGCCGGCTGGACTTAGAGGGGTTCAATTTGACATGTGATATATTTATGGTATATTATGAATTATGTTGTATGTTTCGTATACATATTGTAATTATATATAGTTGTATATATATATAATTATATATATATATGTAATTATAAATTATATATATATATAATTACATATTTATATGGGTGATATTAGTTAGGATGGCCCTCATACTAAACACCCCCCAGAAACCAAAGGCCCGGGTCGGCTGCTGTTCCACGAATGGCAGGCTCTGACACAGGCAATTTGGGTGCCGTGATGGCTCCTCAGGACTCGATTGAATACCGCGAATCGTTCCAAGGAACCGGTGAGTTGTAACAGTTTCAGTCATCTACACTTTGGGGGGATTCATGGCCATGTTTACCAGACTCGAGGCTTATATATATATATACATGCACATACATATATATATATATACATATGTCGTGATGTGGATGGAAAACCCCTCTAGACATCGCCGCAAATGCAAAGTCTAAGGCACAACTTCGCACGTTTTTCGCTACATCAACTTCTTCCACATCTTTCAAGGGTGTGGCCATGCAGCAGAGTCAAACTGAGGGCAGGATGCCAGCTATGTAAAGAGCCGTTTTCAGAATGCAAGCTTGAGATGCTTTGCAGGCCATGAACACATTTTATTATCATATATATATATATATTCATTGTCATATAATCATATCATACATATATCATATATATATATATACACATATATACACATACATATCTTCACTTTTCTTGCTGATCTCAACAACCTTTTGGGACTTCACAGGGGTCTTTCGACCCCGCTGTGGTTCCTCGGTGATTCTTGGTGTGCCGTTCGGTTCGCGCAGGTCGTTTACCTGGACGAGGATGTGGTGGTCAAGGGAGATCTCCTGGAGCTTTTCCACGTCTCAATGAGTCGCTCCATTGGAGGTTTAGTCATGTTTATTGGGTCACTAACTAGTATGTATTGTATTATAGTACATATATACAATGTTATTGGGTCCCATACAATACAATACATACAATACATAATACATACAATACATAATACATACAATACATAAATTATAGTTTATTGGGTCACTAACTAGTTATGGATAGTTATGGATTATGACCCAATAAAACATGACTAGTGGGAATAAACATAACTATCCATAACTATCCATAACTAACCATAACTAACTGTTTTAGTGGGGTGAACATAGCCATCCGATTCCTGTGGTAACTGATTGTGCCACGCCTCTAGAATCCATATGATTTTATGGATCAGTTGTATTCCCAAAAATATTCCTTATCCTGATTACGGTGAATCTGCATTGATGCAAACAATCTTCTGGGGTTAGGTCATGTTCCACTTCTCGACTTGAAGTTATTTGCTTCTTGGAAAATCCGGAAGTCCTTTGGATACCTTTGGTCAAAATCATCGAAAGTCCTAGACCTTTTGATTGATTTATTATTTGCTGTGATATCTGATTCATGAACTAGCCCCAGAACATTATTAGCTAGTTGAACAAAAATACCAAGATTTACCATTGTTCAACTAGCTAATAATGTTAATAATAATAAAGCCTATATGAATAGTTATTATGTTATTAAAAAACATGCTTTTATTGGTTTGTTAATAACAGAGCCCATGGGATTCCGTCAGACATCCGTCAGATCGCCGTGGCCGCCGTGGGCAAGGCACTGACAACGGGGCGCCCGGGACGGTGGCCGCGGTGCAGCGGAAGAACCAGCCGCTGCGGACCTATGTGGATGTGCTGCAACCGGCCGGGGGCCTCAGTCGGAAACTTAGGTAATAGAGATTCTGGATGACTATGGATGGTTAAGGTGGGTATATTAATAATATATATATATATGTATATGATATTTAATATATATATATTATATTAATTTGCATATTATCTATATTATATTATCTATATTATATTATCTATATTATATTATCTATATTATCTTATCTATATTATATTATCTATATTATATTATCTATATTATATTATCTATAGTTAGATGGAATTATAGACTCATAACTAGGGACGCCATTGTAGGTGTGGCTCAAAAACAGTGTGTCATTTTTGCGATTGGACCGTTGGGGAACCAAGGATTCGACCATGGTGCCATTGGTGGGATGACCATTGGCGCCATATGTCACTACATCTACCCATCCAACATAATCTACTTGTATCTACTTGTATCTACTCGGACACAAATTCATCTAATCTAACCTAAATATACCTATATAATTCAGATCCAATCAAAAAAAATTATCACTTTGACGATGGCACATTGGTTACCTGCAGTTTTTTTTTGTTCCGTCTAAGGCGGTGCCGCATTGGTTACCCAGTGAAGCTCCGTCCTTCAACGTTTCTGGGCCTCGTTGTTGGTGAAGGCTGGGACTATGAAACATGGTCATTTTATATATTGGATCGGTGGAAAAGATAACAGGAACCGAACCCCCTTTTTTAATTTCATAGGACATCACATTAATATAACATGATATAACATGGTTTTCTTTTTTTTTTACCAGAAAACCAATGAAGAACTGCTTTCACTTGGTTTAGTCAATTCACCAAGTTGCTGCATGGATATTCCCATGGATATTCCGTGGATATCCGCCCCCCATTTCGGTGACCCCAAAAAAGGTATAGGATATTACAGATATATGATATATGATTAATGTAGATAAATCTAGAATATAAGTATAGATGAATATAGATAAATATAAGCTATAAATATAATATAGATTAATATAAGTATAGATGAATATATAGATAAATCTAGATGTATTACAGTAACTAGAGGATATTACATAGGTTGCATCCCCATGGCACACCTAATTGCGAAAAAGAGTCTATCTGCGAATAAAAGAAAAACACCGTAATAATATATATATATATATATATAAATATTGAATCAATATTGAACTTCAATATCTACAGAAAGCT